AGCACATCATGACATGTGAAACATCAACAAGCAACTAACATATCATTCCACACATATAAAGCAAATAGTTATTCATAAAAATGGAGATTGTTAGCAAAATCATGAAAGCAATTAAGTTGACATGCGAAAAAGGGAAGGACTTTATAATTATATTTCATTCAATTTGGATGCACTGAAAAAACGCAAGATGAAAACCCAAGTAACATTTCCCACAGGAAAATCCTAACCTACACAAAATATCCCGTTAATCACCTTTCTTTCAGCTTGGGGTCATGTATTCTAGGGCAGGGTCCTGATTAAGAAAACAAAAGATGTGCTGTTATTGATGCGTTGCTCTCTCCAAACATATTAAAAAAGCAAATGATTCAAAAAACTAAAATTCAGAATCGTGATTCCTTGTTGGTTTTTCTAAGCAACCAGATAGACTGTTAACAAGGTGTAATTCAATACGAATTGAATAGCAATGCACCTATATCGCTTCGAGTATTGGCGAAGAGATCCAAAGGACAAAAGCGAACCAGATAGTGCCCACAAACCTCCTTATCGTCCCAAGTAAGTTCCCTGCCCCCATTTCTCCCTTCCTCCGTCAAACTACGTGCTGAAATTCACCAATCAATCAAAGCAAGAATAAGCACACAAAAAAAATCCAATTGAATGAAATAAAAAAAATCCAAATGCCCGGAGAGGCATAAAAAAAGAAAAAGCAAATGGGTATGTAGAAAAGCAACGATTAACCAGGGTTTATGCGAGATACCTGTGCCCATAAGTTCGTCAAGCAGAGGGGGAAATTCAGAAGGGTTTGAATTTGAGAAATAAATAAAAACAGAGAAACAATTTTTTTTTTTTTTTTTTTTTTTGGGGGTGAAATGGGGGAACAGAGAAACAATTTTAGTTGGAGAGGGAAGGGTATCAATGCACCACCGCTGTTCGCTTCGCGGTCTTTTTTCGGAGAATTCTCCCGTGTTTTTTTTCTTATTTTATTTTCTTAATTCCATTGATTATTTCTTATTTGTGAATTGAAGTTATTTTTTTTAGAATTGATAGTCTAAACTACAACAGGCTACCAACGAAGGGCGTGTTTGGAACTGCTTCTCTAAGAAGCACTTTTAGAAGCGCTTATATTATAAAAATGTTAAAATTTTCCTAAGAAATCGAAGTATTTTTTCCTAAATAAGCATATGACAGATGCTTCTTCAAAAAGCACTTCTACGGCCTATAAGGATTTTTGTTAGAGGGCTTTTGATTGTCTGAAAGCACTTTTAATCCGTTCAGCAGTACTTCCAAACGGACCCGAATTGATTTGGAGTTTTAATTTTTGTTTTAAAAATTTAATTTTCATCTTTATAATTGTTTAATAAATTATCAATTTTCTCCTTGAGGTAGAGACCACTTTAGCATAAAAAATGAGACTCGCATAACTTACAGGAGTTTGTATATACTTTTGTAAATTATCTATTTAGGGATTATTTGTAATTTGCTGGAAGAAAATTTGGATATATATTTTTTTGTTCCGAAATAAAATTTGGGTTTGTACGCTAGTTAAATACAGTTGTACTATACAGGAGAAAATAAGTACGTTTGCATTTTTACAACTATATCCTTTCCTCGCATCTTCCACACGACCGACCCGATCTCTCTACTTCTCCCTCCCTCTCTCATCCACCTCACGGCCCGCCTGACTTGATCTCAGGTAATTCGCCACCAAATTTATTTACGCTATCGTTTTACATCTGGTGTTGTTTCAGTTTGGATTATATCTGCCTGAGATCGTGGCTTCCATAATTTCGTAGTTGAGGGAGGTTGTTTTGTTTTTTCTTTTTCTTTCCAGATTTGTTAGCTTTCCGTTTGACACCAATGAACGAAAAATCTATTGATTCCATGTTTTTAGGTTTATGGGTTTTGATATGATTTTTGGGTTGATTTCTAAAATCGGCTTCTCAGTGCAAGATTTGGTCATTTGTTAATACATATATATGCATTGTGCTGACCCAGTTTAGGTTTTACCATTATTAACGTCCTAAAATTCGAGTGATTGAAACTCACCTCAGCCGAACTTAAGTTGTTGATTGGTAAAAGGCTTTTTGTATCTATGAATCCAATCACACTTCAACTTTGAGGTCTAAATTTTTGTTTCTTTTTTATTTCAGCAACCAAAAGGCATAGAGTAATGGTTTTCGTACCGGTTAAATTGTAGTAGGCACAAATGACAAGTATATTGATGGGCCCTAGTTCTGTACATTGTAAATTATACTGTTTAATGTAGTCAGTGAGAACACATATTTGTCCTGATGGTTTCTTTTCTCCCTGATGTAGTGGATATCAACTTAGAATGGCTGGCAGAGCTCATATCCCCACTAAGAGCTCAGCACTCATTGCCATGATTGCTGATGAGGTATGGATAATGTTGTTCTGTAATTCTTTTGGTTGAAATAGTTGTTGCAGTCTTGATTTGTCTTCCTGATGAGATGATTGTTATCGTGTAGGACACTGTAACTGGATTTTTGCTGGCTGGAGTGGGTAACGTTGACTTGCGGAGAAAGACAAATTATCTTATTGTTGATTCAAGTACGTTTTGAGCTTTTTTGATGCTTGAACTTTGGAACTTCATCCATACTGGTAATCTGTTTCTATATGTTTGTATGCAGATAGATCATCAGGTGGACTAAAATGACAATTATGGTATATGATTAGTAATCTATTTGTAAGAATATTTTTCCAACTAATCCAGTGGGTAAACGAAATAGGGGGGCCTGGGAAGGGGAAGGGAAACTACAAACTTCTAGGAGATGTATTCTAGGTAAAAGACTATTATCTTTTTGTTGAGAAGTTGCTCTTTTGTAAGTATTGTTGCAGTTTAGCAATGGTATAAGTTTTCGTTCTTGTTTATCAAAGAAAAGCAAGCAAATTAGGCTACCATTCATTAGTGAAGAAAGGTATAAAATTACATTTTGGTCAGTTAAATTTGGTCTGCTGTGACAGTCCTTTGGTATTCCTTCTGTTCTTCTTAATGAGTATCACAGCACTTTAAATTAAACAACAACTTGGTCCCTTCAATGAAAAGTTTAGTTTCTTTTCTGTTTTTGGTGTGAAAAACTTAGCTATGAATTCAAATTAATACTTAAAGCAAGGTTCAGTCTCTGGTGCTTAATTATTATTATTATTATTATTATTATTTGTGTCTAATAGTATTTGTTTTCTTGTTTTCTGCTCAGAAACAACAGTGAAAGCAATTGAAGATGCATTCAAAGAGTTTACGACAAAGGAGGATATTGCAATTGTCTTGATCAGCCAATATGTAAGTTCTTTCTCATACTTTGAAGTTCTTCAACTGTTATGATTAGAGGACTTTTCTGGTCCGCAAGGCAATATCCTTATTGCCGTCCAAGTGGTTGCAAAACATATTAGAATTTATAGCAATCTTTGTATGCATTCCTTCCAAATTTGTTGTTAGTTGAAGATTATTTGAAAAGGAAATGACCATTTTCTACGGTTTTCTTACCAGGTTGCAAACATGATAAGGTTTCTAGTTGATAGCTACAATAAGCCAGTTCCAGCTATTTTGGAAATCCCGTCCAAGGATCATCCCTATGACCCTGCTCATGATTCAGTTCTTTCAAGAGTGAAGTACCTCTTCTCTAGTGAATCTGTGGCATCAGGAAGGCGTTGATCATCAAGTATTTTCATGTGTTTTGCTCAATAAGTATTGCATTGCTTTTGATACCATGTATGGTTTTTCCCTGGTTCACACCAACTGCTCTGTTACTGACCGACAGACGGTTGGTATATATGTGTACGTATTTTAGTTTCCTTTTGTGCGTAAATTATCTGTAAATCATACCAATGCAAATTAAATCTCATTTTATTTAATAGGAATAAATTCATGTCATTGTTGATCTTGGTGAGAGTATGGTTTTGTTTATGAAAGCTCTCATATAAGTAGAATTACAGAACAATGTCAGAAAAGTTGACGAGAAACTTTACTCTCTTTTTTTTCTTTAATCAAAACCATTTAATATTTCTTTGGCAAATGGTATTTCCTATTATTTCTCAACCTCAGACTTTCACGTTGGTTTTTTGAAGTTTCCTTGTTATGTTATGTCCAACATTTTCCTACCGTAATTTGAGCAACCCAAACATTTCATTTGAGATGATTTTATTTTGGGTTAAATACTTTTTTAGTCACTGGGTTTTACACAAAAATTCAATTTCGTCACTGAGAGAAAAATTTAGCCAAATTGGTCACTGTGTTTCCCAAAGTTTACAATTTATAGACATTCGGTTATCTTTTGTTAAGTGTAGTTTTTATTTTTATTTTTATAGGAAGCCCCTTCAGTCTTCTTACTCTAACTCAACGAATTAGGGTATATTTGTGCTATAAGGGGTCTAGCAAATTTTGGGAAATTTTGGGTTGAAATCGAAATTGTGAGGTATAAGGAAAATCAAAAGGTCAAACTAAATTAAAATGAAATCTACAACTTACCAATATATTTTGGTGCTCTATCACCTTAAAGAAAATAATTGGAAGGTGAAAAGCACGTGCTTTGAAGGTGGAGTGGAACTTAATGGAAGATAACAAAATGTCTATAAATTGTGAATTTTGGGAAACACAGTGACCATTTTGGCTAAATTTTTTTCTAAGTGACCAAATTGAATTTTCGTGTATAACCCAATGACTAAAAAGTTATTTAACCTTTTTTTTTTCTTTTTTTCTTTTTTGGGTCAAAGGGTTCATTTCCTTGAGTTCTAATGAGCAAATAGAATTTGTAACTTAGATGATCATGACCTGTCAATGGATCAGATTTTGATCTGAATTCGATCTAAATCCGGTGTAATTAATAGGAGATTGATTGTACGTCTTAATTCGATAATCCGATTACAATGTGAATTCAGTAATCCGATTATAAATGGATTTGGATATGGATTATAGTTGATCCGATCCGACTTAGTATGAAGTATAATTTAAATTTTCTATGCTTTATATTAGTATTTTATATGCGTAAATGAGTAATTTTAGTTTTATATGCACTAAGAATACACTTAAAACTAATTTTTATGATAAAATATCAAAAATTAATATAAAAAGTAGATAAATACAAGTGTAAATGAGTAATTTTAGTTTTATATGCACTAAAAATACACTTAAAACTAATTTTTATGATGAAGTATCAAAAATTGATATAAAAAACAGATAAATAGAATAAAAGAACGAGGCTACTAATGGAATTTTGATTTTTTGTACATCTCAAAATAAATTCGATAATAATTTGATCCAATCTGAATATGATATTCTGAACACGATCTGGATTCGATAATTTGATCATAAATGAATTTGAATTTGAATTTGAATTGAGGTATATCCGATCCGAATCCGATCCGTTTACTTAACTCTCAAACCTGTCCAACCTACCATGCCATTCTCTAACTATTTCTAATTGTAGTTCTTTCAATATACCACAAATTAATCCCGTTCAAACGCTTAACCACTCACTCGAGCCTAACACACAATATATTTCATAATTCAAACGGTTCATTTTTCATGTCATAATTCGAAGATCATTCCGACGAAGTTTTATCCAAATCAAAAATCGTTTAGCCAGTTGAGTATTATTGTGAACAATTTCTTATTTAGTGAAAATATTATGTTTGTTTATTTATTTGGTCATTGTTAGATAACTAAATGTTTTTTGATTTGAGTGAATTTTTCATAGAGATCATCATTGATTCGGTGATGATCTAAGAAATAAAATTATATGATTAGAGCCACATTAACTCACTAATTAGTGTTCTTGTGCAATTACGCGAATGTTGTGTATTGTGATTCTCCAAATCAAGAGAAAAAGAACTCACAAATTCGAGGTGCACTTGCACTATTTTGTTTTAAAATTAGATCCTCACCGTCCGTTTGATGATCCAACAGGCAGTAAATCTCCTCCGCATCTTCTTCTTCTTTTTTCTTTTTTCCTCACTCAGTTCAGAATCGAATATCGAACTGATTATCTCATTCCCAATTTCTGACGTCGATGAACTCACAAATTCAAAGTGCACTACTTTGTCAGTGATTACTAACAAGTTCCCTGCTCTTTGAGCCCTACAATTACAAACGGCACGTAATTCCTTCACACAAATGGTAACATCTTCAAAACCCTAAGCCCTAATTCGTTCTCAGGTATGAAATTGAAGCACTCAATCATCCTCTAATCTAATGGCTTCCATTTCGACTCTCCAAGTCCTTCCCTTTCCGGTATGTTTCTGAAGCTTTTTCAATCGTTGCAACAAATTATTACTATTAGTTCTATTCACTGATTTGATTTTGGCATTGAATTCTGAATCATAGCTCTCACATTGCTCAGCTGGGCTGGACGATTAATATACAGTCAGAAGTTTCTATTGAGAGCCATTGACGGCTCGGTTAGCTCCTCTGCTGGTCAAGACCACAGTCTCCGTAATGATGGGGTAGTGAAGAGTAAGAACAAAAATGGCATAAATCTCAAAGACTCTGTTGGCAAATTGCACGGAATTATCAGCTCCTTCTCTCCCGTCGTCTACTCGGTAAGATTTTCATTTTTAATATTGGGGTTTCTGTGATGGAAATGTTGGAAAAAGTACTCGTTTTTTTTTTCCGGGTTTATTTCAGTGTCTGTACATTGGCTAGTTTATATATTTGCAATTTGAAACTGGTTTAACTTTTTTCTTCTTCTTTTTTCCGAATAATAATCAGATGCGGCAAAGAGTGGGATCCAATTTGGCAATTGGTTTATGCATTGCAGCTGCATTTTTGGTCATTGCTTTGAGAGTGTATGCGGTGAGGAAATCAAAGAACAATCGTCCTGGCTCTGTAGCTGATCTTGTTAGACGTGGCCAGCTTAGATCTGATAGAAGAGGCATGTATGATTCCAACCCTTTTTCTCGTTGTCGTTGTGTAGAATTGTTTAGGGCATAAGTTTGAAAACTTTTGAATTGTAAGTGTTTACTTATGTTTTGCCCTTTGCAAATGTTCGGTGCCCGTATTTCACAGTTCACAGCCTCTCAAGTATGATGACCCATTCAATAATCCATTGGTTAAGGTTGGTAAAGGCAATTCAACTGTAGAGATGTGTGGAAAGGTTTATCGCCTAGCCCCAGTTACCCTTACAAAAGAGCAGCAAGCTGTCCATCAGAAAAGGAGATCGCGGGCTTACCAGTGGAAGAGACCGACAATATTCCTAAAGGAAGGGGAATCAATACCTCCTGATGTTGACCCTGATACGGTTAGGTGGATTCCTGCCAATCATCCTTTTGCAACCACTGCCGGTGACATTGATGAAGACTTAGCACAAAACAATGTGTATCAGAAACATGGTGTTCCCTTTCGAATTCAGGCTGAGCATGAAGCCCTGCAGAGGGTAAGCACTTGTAATACATTAATACATTGCAGTTGTGAATAGAAAGGGAAAAAAAAACCTTGCAATGATGCTCTACTTTAACAATTTCTAGCGGTTTTTATTTTTTGTAGGAGCAAAAGCTGAACAGGCTAGTGATGGACTCTAGCAATGATAGTGATTTTGTGAAAGCATTCAAGTCGGGTCCCAAGTCACCTGAGCATGGAGAAGAAAGCCCCATCAATAATCAAGCTGGTAACTCCAAGCCGCTGTTGTCAGAATGTGGCCCAAATTCCTTTGGAATTATGTCGCCCTCTGAGGAAACACATGATTGAATTTAATCGTTGCTTCTATTTCTATCATTGTGGATCATCAAATTATTCAACGAGGACGACTGGGACTCTGAGTTTTACTTAGCAGGTCCAGATATCGAATTGAATTGCAACCTAAAGTTTTGAAATATGATGTAGCTGCTTGAGATATCCGGTTTAAAAAGTTCAGGTTGGGCTGTATATAGAGTCGTGTAGTTCCGTATCTTAAATATACTGTTTGTAGATGACAATTTAATACTCCAGAATGGTGTACCCCTTACTTTATCTGATATTTTATTATACTGATTTTAGTTCTTGATTAGACTGAAATTCAGTTAGTAGTCATCGTTAAACTGAATCGAACACCTGCTTGTTGATGTTATTTACCCTGGTAGTCAATGACCTTCATAATGAGGATGGTTCTGATGGCCAGGATCAAGAGGAAACAGAGACTTGAAATTAAGCAGAAGTGCAAGAAGAGAAATTTTATGTTTTCATGGCAAAACGAGTGATGAGAGGTTTCCGAGGGGCATGTAGAATCGTAAATATTCAATCAATCAACCATCTCTGCTAAGCCTCTTAGTATTATTATCTCCAAATAATCTAGGTTATCATACACAATCAAAATTGAAGAATGACGCTGTTTGAATATAAAATGCAGTACAACGAGCAAAATCTCCGTACAGAAGATGGGAGGACGCCACAAACTGCAGAACTAGCAAACGGATAAAAGCTTCCAATTACTCACTTTTAGCGGCGGCGACTTGTCTTGCACCAACAGCAAAGAATTCAGTAATGACTTCAAGGGGCATGCCTTTGGTTTCTGGAACCTTCAAGAAGATAAATATAAAGGAAATGACACAAACCACTGCATAAATACCAAAGACACCAGCTAGGCCTATTGAATCAAGCAGATCAGGTAGTGAGTAGGTGACGATAATGTCCCCAATCCAGTACACCAGGGCGCATATGGCAATGCAGAGGCCACGTACTCTTGTCGGAAAGATCTCCGAGCAGAGGATATTTGGAATTGGCCCATAGGCCATGACAAAGACGCAGAAATAGATGATAACACAAATGGTTGATAACGCCGCATGAAGAACTGTACCCAAGGACACAAGGTTGGCAATGATTAGGATGATGAGTGACACTACCAACACAGGAATTGTAGTCAGTAGCAGCGTCCTGCAATAAGGAATGTTTAATTAAGATTTAAACTTAAAGTTCTTCCTCTAAAACGAAAAATAAGCCAGAGTCCCAAATTAAATCTTTAGGACAGTGCACCAAGAAAAAAAACAAGGAATTAAGCCAACAGAAAGAACCTTTTAAGTTAATGAGCTCTTAAGGAGCGAGACTTAATTTTAGCAGATTGTCAAGAATCACCCGACCGCAAAACTATTACACTACTTCCTTTCATGAGATAGCCTTAGCCCCACATATTACAAATGTTTAACATTTTATAAAATAGAAATTAATTCAAGAAGGCTGCATAGGACCACTATCTTAAAACATAAAGGCAGCTTAACGCAAACTGTCATTTGCTGACAGCCAAACCAGCTTTTCGTGTAATGCCAGAGCAATTTGTTAAAAGTTATAGTTAAAAGATAAGACCTTGGATATGAGCAACCCTAACTGAAGAGTTTCTGGTCAGATTAAAAATAAATAAAAGTACAGAAGAATTAATCACCTTCTACCAGCGATATCCATGAGCTTTATGGCTATGGCTATACAAGGAAGCATCAACAAAGTTGTGAATGCACTAATGAGGAAGGATGAAGACTCTGTACTGAGACCCAAGTCTTCAAGAAGAACTTCAACACCTGCCTCTTCAAGAATTTGAGGAGTGTAGTACAGAACCCCATTTATGCCAGAAAACTGCACAATTATTTAAGGAACACTTTAGTTGCCGGTCATAGAAAAAAATTGAAGGAACACTTTAGTCATTAGTTTCCCCCGAGAACACCAAAAGGGAGATATTCTAACTGAGAAGGGATTAGCAGATACAAATGAAGAACAATGCATAACAAAATGGATCTTTTATGTGCCAGACATTTACATAGCTAGGACTGGCTCAGGAAACATCATGAATCACATCAAATAAACTCGATGATAGTCGTTCTCAGAAAGTTAGCCAGAAAAAAGTATCACATTTTGCCAATCCCAATGAACAAAATGTCAGATAAGATAGAAATGAGAATTTTATAAATTTTTATAAATTATAACTATTTACTACCTGCTGAAGAATCTGGATTCCTATTCCAACGAACAATGCATGCTTAACCCCTGGTTCAAACAGAGCAGCCCAGATTGGTCCTTTTGAAGCTGTTTCCGATGGATGAACCATTGCAGGTCCAACTGGATGCTGATCTATAAGCTCCTTCGAATATAGAGCAGGCTGACTGACCAGAGCCGCTGCCTGTATAAACTCAGCTTCTGCAGGAACATCACCACCAGGAAGTGACAAAAGGGACCCACGACGGGAGCCTGGGCCTCCCTCCTGGTGCAAATATACCCTTTTAAATCCTCCTTCCTTCTTTCCATCCCCGCCTTCTTTCTCAGACCACTTCCATGCCAATTGCCAGCCACCACCAATGCCTGTGCTACCAACTGTCTCCCCTGTTCCTTGCATGAGACTGCTGTGCCGCCTCATGCTTAGAACACTGCCATGGGAAGCAGGGGGCACTAAATCCTTTTCCAAACTTGTTGCCTGGCGTGAAATCAATGGACTATGCAGATTGTCATCTGAGTCTCCCCCTGCAGCATCAGATGCGTAGCCCTCACCTTCTCTCTGCAAGCTCTCTTCATCCCATTGTTCAGTTTTAACCCGAGGATCTGCTGTGCTGAACATGCTCCCAAAGTTAGGAAAAAGCATGCTACGAGTACTAGCAGTCTCTGGGAACTTTTCATGGACACTACCAAACAGAGCGACGAGAGGGTCCATTAGAGGCACACCCTGGTTTACCATGCTTCCTTGGCGAGAGACAAGACTAATAAGGGAACCCTGTCCCGTGACAGGTCTGGCAACCCAGGAAAGGCCTTCCTCAGGTCCATATAACCTAATTTTATCTTTGTCAGCTGGTTCCTGATCGTCAGCAAGTTCATCAGCGGGGCCTATTATGTACTCTTCTATAGATGTCTCACCCCCAATTCCAAGACCTTCAACCAACAACGCCATTTCACCTATAAACCATGATGCATTAGCAAGATTCACATGATAAATTAGTCATAGTTACAACTTACTTAATTAATCTCAAAATCTTGATGAACTGTGCATAATAAAGGGGATTAGTTACATGTATTCTGAGCCCATAGATTTACACACATAGAGAAGCTAATGCATGTCAACATTTCTGCAAATGCTTAATCTAAAATTCGAGTGTACTTGTCAAACCCCTTTGATAATCCAGACCTACTCTAGGACAATACCAACAGGTATATGACATAGTATTGATGTCAAGCAAACAAATAACAATCTGAGCATTAATCTCTGTGTAGCATAGAAAGCGAAAATAAAACAGTATGCTGAAGAAACAGATTCATTCAAGAAAAAATGGGATTTGATCAAAAAGAAAAGAAAAGAAGAACAAAGAACCATTATTTTACTTATGTTATGCATAATAACCAGACCACTGTCGCACACTGAATAGAAAAGGTCTAAGAACATAATTCCTCCATAAGTAACGCATTTTCCTACAAGCATTAGTAATAATTTAACCAAATGTCTAAACAACTTTTTTACAAGCGAAACTCTTTCTTTAAATAAGAAAGAACATTAAACTTTAAATTGGAGACCAAAGGAAGTAGAAAAGGCAACTCCGAGTATCTTTTACCCATAACGATAATATGCAGGTTTTTGTCCTAAAATATATTGAATCTTTATCAAGTTCAGTGAATCATGCACGAATTTATGATAAGAATTTTAGCATGCACATTTCAGTGCATGAGACAATGCTTTAAGAGTTGGATCCACTGAAACAAGAGAAAGATGATATGCATTTGGGAATCAGGATCTCTACATACAAACATAATATTGCAAGCAAGTAATAAGCAACAAACCAGAAACATCTTCAGTGCCACGTAACTGCTGGAGAACCTTCTTTGCCTCAAGCATCCTGCCCTTACTCACAAGCCATCGAGGAGATTCAGGCAAGTAAAATACCGTTAATGCAAAATAGATAATAGAGGGAATGGAAATAACACCGAGCATCAGTCTCCAGTTTGGTGAGTTCATCAGTGACATCCCAAAAACCATACAATATGATAAAAACATGCCGCCTGAACCAAGGAATTGTGGAAGAGTATTTAATGATCCCCTTATATCTGCTGGGGCAGTTTCAGATATGTAGAGCGGGACGAGAGTAACTGCTAGACCAATTCCAAATCCATCTAATAGCCTTGCTATACATAGTACATAGACATTGGGCGACCAAACCATTACCAAGCCACTCACAAAATAAAGGACTGATGAGGCTATTAACATTGGTTTCCTACCAATCCAATCTGAGATGGCTCCTGAGCATGTTGTAATAGCTGTTGCGCCAATGAGTGACATGGCCACAACAAGGCCTTCTAGAGAGCTTCCCAAATCGAAATCTTCCGTTATGTAAACAATAGCCCCTGAAATCATAGAAGAAAGAAGTAACTAGATATTACTATATTAGCAGAAAATGAGAACCAGGGAAAACATGAAGTTAACAAAACAAATTGGGACAAACTCTGTGATTGAAGTTAGCTAAGCAGATAAAATTCCTGGGAAAATACAAAATTACTTTGAATCCCAATGCACAGAGACTGCCCAAACAAGAATGGAGGAGGCTTGAAATTCTAGTTCAAACATGTCTAAATTTACAACTTTAAAACAAACAGATATAGAAATCTGTACCGGCAATTGTAGCATTATCCCATCCTTGCAGAAGGTTACCAATTGTGGCAGCAATAGCCACCATCATAGCGCTCCTCATCTTTTCACCAATGAATGAACGCGACCCCCAATCTCAAACAAACCTGAAAGGAAAAAAGTACCCACATCACAAAATTAATAAATCATTCCAACTATAGAAAGACCCAGATCTAGCTCACTCATAAGTAACCATTTCTCACTGCAAAAGGGCTAATGGGTCTCTGCATCTCCCTGTCCCAGAATGCAACAGATCCTTTAGATTGCTTACCTCTTCAGGGGGTCAGGTGAGGCTTTGCACACAGAGTTTGCTAAATGTAAGTTAATATGGAGCACCCACAACTGAATTTAACAAAAAGGGACCCGTTGGGAGAGAGAGAGAGAGAGAGAGAGAGAGAGAGAGAGAGTAACCTTGGAC